AAAAATTAATTTGTGGATTCTTGTTTCAGTAGACATACCAAAAAAAATTCGAAAAGGTCGGTTTTGACTGAAATACTCTGAACAAATTATCAAATCGTAATTTGAATACCATTTTAGAATTCTCTGGACAATTTTACTTCGGAATATTCGCATAATGCGATGCCTGATGCTTCCCAACGATACAGAAATGGCGAGAACATGAAAATGTCGCCAAAAATGCTGAAAACTGAGCTCTTAAAAAGCCTCATACCTCTATAGGTTTTCTTCAGAAAAAAAAATGCGTCAGATATGAGAAAATAGCCAATTTCGGCTCAAAATAATAAAAATTGGACCAATTTAAAGGCCAAAGTGCAAAATTTAAATTTCACAGCGTCCTCCTTAAAGAAAAAATTCGAAAAGAACACTTTTGACTGAAATGTCTAGTAGTAGTAGTAGAAAGATTTATTTAGCACATTTGGCTACATAAACAGAATAATTGTAAACAACTTAGATCTAGTAAATTCAAGCCATATGGTGTATGATGTAAATGCTGGGCAACCTATAGTTGTCTTTTATCTCTGAGTATAATTTATTATATTCAATCAACCCTTGATGGAATACAGATTTGTAGCATATGTTATACTTTTTGGTCATTAAATGGAAGTCATCTTTATTTCTGGTATTATGTAAATGATGGTCGACATTTGATGATGTTAAATTACTTAGACTTGATGGAAATATATTATTTTTTACTTTATAAATGAATATCATTACAAGATATTTGATAAATTTTTTTACATTGAGCTATTTTAATTTGCTAAGCATTTGCCTAATTGGAGCATATTTATCTTTATTTAGTATTATTCTCATGCATTTATTTTGTAAAATTTGCAGTCTTTCAAAAATGGAATTATTTGCTAAATATAGAATAGTCGAACAGTACAAGAAATTTGGAAGAATGATGGTATTATAGATAATTTTTCTGCTATATAAACTCAGACATCCAGAAACTCTCGATAAATATCCCACTTTACTACTAATCTTATTTATAACTTTTTCATAATGAATATCAAAAATTAATCGAGAGTCAACAAAAAACCCCCGGGTATTTAAAATTTTCTACGAATTCAATATCTTCACCATCAATGTTCAGTTGAACATTGGAACATTGTTTTTTCCGATTAACAAGGCTTTCGTTTTACTTGTATTTAATTTTAGTCTGTTAGATGCTAACCATTTTGAGACAAGTTTCAAGTCTTCATTTATATAAGAGATACCAGACTGAATATTTTTAGTACTTATATAAATCATAGTGTCATCGGCGAAAATCTGTATTTTGCATTTTTTTACTATGGCAGGTAAATCATTTATGTATAAAATAGAAAGGAGTGGTCCCAGGATACTGCCCTGTGGAACACCCAACGTATTTTCAATTTTTGATGAAATAGTATCATTAACTTTTGTAACTTGCATCCTTTTAGACAAATAATTTCTAAACCAATCTAAAACATTTCCTGTTATACCATATGCCTTCAATTTACCTAACAAAATATCTCTATCAATCGTTTCAAATACCCTCTTCAAATCCAAAAATACTGCTATGACAACTTCTTCCGAGTCTATGGCTCTTCTCCAATTCTCAGTTACCAACTGGAAAGCCGTTTCTGTGGAATATTTTTTTCGAAAGCCTGCTTGCGCCTCCAAGATTTAGCCACGTCTTGCAAATCTGGGCTTAGTAGTTGCTATTAATTTGCATAACTAATGTCTGTCAAAGTAATTATCATATCACAATTTGTAGGTCTTTTTGAATTCCTTTGACAATATTACTTGGGAATTGTCTGAGTTACGGGGCCTAGCGAGAAACTTCAAACCTCGAGCGCCTCTCTAGACCGTTCGAGCTAAGACTCTAAAAGCTTCATGTGTCTCTAGATACTCTTCATAAAAAAATGAGCCCGATCTGAGTTATAATACGCCAAGCCAGGTCTTGGAATTTTAGTTTTGTTCATCACTGATAGATCATCAGTCTACTACGTTGTGGCTCCATCCAGCTGCTGGAAGTGGTAAGACTTCTGAAAATACTCAAGCGGAATCCAGTGTTTACGAAAATATGCGTCCTGAGGTATGCGGCGGCATGCCAGACTCACGCGCATGTCTGACAAACTTTTATTATATTGCATCCAGGACTGGACTACGGGAATAAGACATCGTAGAAACTTAACGACGTTCATGCTGTAGCAGTAACAATTAATAAACATAAATGACTGCTATGAAGAACTTACAGAAACCTTGTTAATCCGATTTTTGAACTGTCTAAACTCAATAGAACTGTGAAAAGCCTACTCAGGTAGATTGTTCCACAATTTCGATACCCTAGGGACAAAGGAGCGGTCGTATCGACCGGTTCTGGATGTACGAAGCTCTACACGATTAGGATGGGAACCCTAAATCAGGCAGGTCTGTCATCATGGGGGAGAGCTCTGCGGAGCAAAGCCGGTTGACATAGCGGTTGAAGAGAGCTAATTGCCGCCGACCCGTCCGTTAGAGAAGAATCATCGATCAGTCGGACAGCCCTTCTCTGAACAGTATCGAGCATGGATAATGCAATTAGGGCGGCAGCATCCCAAACATGTGAGCAGTACTCCAGGCTAGGTCTTATGTGCGCCTTGTACAGAGTGAGGAAGTTATGTTAAGAAAAGTACCTCTTAGCCCTAAACAAGTAGAACTCGGCCATCTAAACGTTAGGGCGCTCCTTGTTAATCAATGCACAGTACTGTGTTTTGGAAGCACCAAACTGCACAGACTGTTGCGTCAGTCATCAGCAAAGCTGATATGTAAGACGAACGATGTTGGAGCTAAAACCGATCTCTGGAGAACGCCTGCGTGAACATTGTCGGATGAGGAGGAGCACATGATTAAAGCTGAAGCATATTAAGCTTTGCTTTAAATGTAGGTATAATTTGCTATACGCATTGCTATAAATCACTGATCAAGGTGCTCAGTATAATAATAATAATAAATGGTCTTTATTCATCATTATACTGCACTGCAAGTGTTTTTATGATAGGTACTTCACAATGAGCATGTTCGAAAAATTCCTAGTGGAATAGTGTACTTGAATCAGAAAGATGAATACAGTTTTAGGTACCTAGCATTCGGTTTCAATTATTATTAAACGCGAAAAGGCCATATCAAACAAATAAACGACCACGTCAGTCTATAGGCGCCAAAAAAACAACTTTTGGATGATAGTGTGTGATTATGCAGTAGAACACGTGATAGTAATAAAGACAAGTACACACCTAAATAAATTCCGCTTAGAACAATAGTAATGATTTTATATGTCCTTCACATTCAAAGGTTAATATCTTGTTGTTTGTAACGGTTTGTTGGCAAATATAGTTAGATCTACATATAGAGTGTCTCAAATTATTGGCTTTCGAAACTCTTGAGAACAATAAGATGTACACCTGTATGATTAGCATGGGATTGCGCTTCGATCAAAAACAAAGCTTTATAGTATGAAACAGAAAAATGTAATCTGATAACGGTTTCCTTTAATGAAGTATTAAGGACAAAAAATGTATCACAAACGTTCATTCCATTTTTATGGGCATATTATACGTTGTTTCATTTTGTCCGTTTATTTTTCAACGCTCCATACATTATCCCCATCACCGCTGACTAAAATGATGTAGCGTGACTCCTGAATGTTCACCAAATTTGTGGTGAGTCTCAATCTACCTTTTTGAAAATTGAGACATTTATAGCGGAATTGCGAAAGCAATCTTTTTATATTTATATGGCCATTTTTCAGAGCAAACAGCAATATTGTAACGAGAAGGCAAACTTTTCGAGATCTGCATTTTTATGCTTCTCTATTTTCTGTCTACTCTAAGGCGTAGTTTATTTAGATGGATTAATATTATATCTTCAGTATTTTCCCCTGAATCAGATCAACAATTATTGCTGTTGATTTCTTAGAAGAAGAAAATTATTAAATGTTAGCGAAAACTTGAACTAGATAAACAGAGACATTTTTAACCAAGTGCTAGCACATTGTTTATTGTTGGCAGCTTCTTCAATACATCTTTTGCAATGTCTGTAGATCCTTGACAAAAAAAAACATTCCCTTTAGATAGGATATTCCTGTAGCCACTTGTACTGAGTATAATCTGGTACAACAGAGCAGAAGTATTATTTGTGTTGGGATATGAATTATATATTTATTGTTAAAACAGGGAGAAATTAAATAAGGGGAAGAAACGAAAGTAAATATTTATCCACAATTATATGAAAATTCATTTTGATTCGCTGTTTTGGAAGCTTTGAATATAAAAAAATCTTGGTTAAAAGCAAAAGACTAGCTAAACATTATGTGGCAATAACTGCGGTTGGATCACTGTCACTATATTGGTCCAATAAAAAGACTTGGAAGTTACTGATATGAGGTTCCTTAACAAAATCTTGTATCGTTAAGAACGAGTAAGTGCAAAGGAAAGAATCTTTCCTAAAAAATTGTAGGTTTAAAATGAGAGTAGATGGTTTTCAAAGTTGATCTGTTGGCCCGTCGCAGTGTCTAAATAAATTTTGGTTTGTCTGCAATGTTTTGCATTTTTCGCAAAAAACAACTAGTATAAAAAAAATAAGGCTATATTACAACTGCCTTGATGTCTTAACGTTCATTTACATGCCTCTTTGCAACGCCGAAGACTATTCTATATCAACACTTACCAGTAAAAAACTACTAAAAATGCTCATGAAAGTCTTTTGACAATTTTGACAATTGTCTGGAACACAGTACTGTATGGAAACCCCAGGCAACCCACGTACTTATATACGTTCTCTCAGAAAAATACAAATTTGATGCAAAGTGTCAAATGGCAGCTTCATCTTGATCTATTTGCTTCATGATTACTGACTACGATTTCGTCGATCAAAGTCCGAATTCGGCCACCATGGAAATTTGTCTGTTTACGCGACACCCTATATATAACTTATACAGTAATTAGAGCCATATTAACCTTATCATGAGCCGAATGCATAAAATCCAACATTACAGTCCTGTCAGAGTCCCGCTTAAAATCGCAGGTGAGTTCACGATCCTGTGAGTCAGTAGCGCGACTGGTATTTGGCAGGATTTCAGTGTTTCAGCAGAATCACAGCTGAACAGCACTTTCACTAAAACGTCTCGCGACTGCGTCTCGTGTCTTTGTTTACTTCGTTTTAAAAAGAAAACTTCAGTTTTTTCGTTTGATCAATATCAGAATTGAAAAGTTACTTTTGCAAACACTGTTTTTTGCCATCTTCATTCAACTTTCCTTCATAGTCTCGTGCCTTTCTGTCAGAGAACGAAGTTACGTTCATCAGGCAAAGACTTAGCCTTTTTCATTCTTGCGCACAATTTCCAATAAAATATGAAAGAAACTGTGGCTTCTTCCGAAATAAACATGAAGGAATACTTGGACTCTCCGGAATCTACTGAGGACTCATCGCCCATAGATGATCTAGGGCAAACAAGTGGTTCTGATAGGCTGGTTATCGTCAAAAGCGCGAATGTTCAAGATGTTTTGATCGATACTATTCAAATGGAGATCCAGTTGAGGTAAGTATTTTATTTTTTTATATACTTCTAACAGTGCAATGATTCTTCTTTTTATAATTTAAATCATGCTATGAGTCCAATGTGTTTAAAGATCGACGCAACTTATAAGCTTAATTTATCTGTGTAGTTGTATGACTTACACACTGATTTCATTTGTTTTTTTTGTTGATTTATGTTTGAAATTTATTATGGTGGTTACATTTGACAGCTCCATTTTCTTACACAGACCTTTCCATACCTACACCTGTGGAAAGAAGTTTGGAAGCTTAAAAGTGCATTGAGCTTTTTCTAGTTATTCAAATTTTATCTGATTCACTTCCCTTCAAGAAAAATTTCGATCGCCTAACCTGCCCCCATCATATATTCATCGATATACAGACCTGTCTGTCGTTCTGTCTGTCGGAATACTTGTAACCAAGTAATTTACGAAATTTCGGAAATTTCTGTATGAATTTTGATGAAATATTGATTTGTACAGTGCTCACAATGCTACATTATTTTGAGAATCGGGGCAGTGATGACGAGGCTATGAGCAATGAATAAAAAAGATTCACACCGGCCTCAATCTTTGTTTTGAGAGTCGTCAACTTCATGAACTCGCCTTCTCAAGGTTCTAATTGAATTAGTCAAGCAAATAAGATGGGGAAATTTTGAGCAAATCTTATTTGTTATAGTATGTCACATATTTTATATCAAATAATACTTGTGTATTTAGGTGATCTAAGGGAAAGATGTTGTTATCCTACAGTGTCACAAAACATTCTTGTGGTTCAGAATTTGTCGGTATGGAGAAAAGATTATAGATTTAACTTTTATGTGACCTTAGGAAGCATTGACTGTGGCAATAACTCAATCTACGAGGGCGGTTCGATAAGTACTTAGCATACAAAAGAAAAGTGAAAATTTTGGAAAAGTTGCTATTTATTTCTCAACATAGTCTCGATAGCTCGATATACTTAACCCAAATACTTGAGTATATTCAAAAATCATTATCGCATGATCGTAGGAGGTTCTTATTAAAAACCGTTCAACTGCTACAAATCTAGTTACCATAACGCAATATATTTCGGAAGCATTGGTCAACAATAGTCAAGTTGACGTCATCTACACGGACTTCTCGAAGGCGTTCGATCGAATAAATCATGATGTATTGCTTGTAAAGTTAATCAAATTTGGTTTTTCTAGTGATGCTAGGGACCTTTTTGAATCGTATTTATCTTCGAGGTGGCAATTTGTTTCTGATAATAATTTTCGTTCTGATACTTCAGCCTCATCCGGTGTTCCGCAAGGTTCACATTTGGGTCCTTTGCTGTTCTTGCTATTCATCAATGATTTATGTAAAGTTTTGCAGAGTGAGCGTTTATGTCTTGCGGATGATTTGAAAATATATTCCGTTATCATATGATTGGACATCCTCCAGCACTGGTGTGATGCCAATAAGTTATTTCTTAGTGTACCCAAATGTAAAATTATGAGTTATTCTAGGAGGGAAACCACCTATCACTTTATTTATCTGTTAGATGGGCTATCTCTGGAGCGTTGTACCGAAATTAAGGATTTAGGTGTGATTTTTGATTACAAGTTGACATTTGGTAAACATATTGAAGCATTAGTTTTACATTTTTTACAGTTATATGGATTTTTTCTTAGAAACTGTAGACACTTCCATAACACAAGTACCATTAAGCTACCGTATTTTGCTTTTGTGAGATCTAAACTGGAGTATGCTTGCATAGTTTGAAATCCCTTTTATGAGTACCAAAAGAGTTGTTGGAAGTTTTTAGTTTATAAAATTGATGGAATTTACCCAGAAAGGGGTGTTACCAATACCGAGTTATACAGTCGTGTTGACCTTATATCTCTGGAGCAGCGTAATACTTGCGCGACCTTGATATTTTTGTTTAAGCTTTTAAATAATCAATTTGACAGTCCCTCACTTCTTGGAAAGATCAACATCAGTGTACCGACTTTTGCGTCGCGTACTCACTTCACGTTCAGAGCTACAAGGGCAAGAACAAATATTTCACTGAAGTCGTCACTAGATAATATGTTAAAAAATTTCAATAGAATATGTACTTTCTGTGATATATTTTGTACTTCTAATAAAGAATTTGTTCCAGTTATCTCGCACACCTTCAATCGGCGGTCTGCCAATACAAGATCGTGAATTTTTGTCACGTTATTCCTCCCTGGTAGCCGTTTTCGGGGCACCTGGGCGAGGCTTTTCAAAATCCGACGTGCGATCACGTTGAAGTTCGTTAAACCAATTTTTGTTGGGCGCCATTGATGAAGAAAAGTCCAGCATCCAAGCACTTATTGGTCCGCCCTCGTAATGTCACCATGTTTTATACATGCTTTTGTTGGTACATCGAAATAGGTTCGCATATAGGAAGCGTCAAGTTAATCTACTTGGTTGCATTTACTTATATACTTCCTACATCTCTCCAAATATCCAACCCACACTATTTTCTTGCACAGAGTCATAAATGCTATAGTAAGTGGATTTTATGACAGCGCCAGCAAATCGAACAGTCAACTTCAAAGTGCTTGTTATTTCCAGAGGTAATTACGTGAGAATTTATGTAGGCTTGCCGTTCTACGCTGCTAGGTTTTCACTGCTCACGAGATGACGGAAATACTAGCGTTAAAATACAAGAAAATTCACGTAACAGTCAGGTACGACTCGGCTGATTGCAGAGTCGAGCAAGCCCGCAAGCACACAGGACCGCGGCTCACACTATGAACGTAATTCAATAGTGCAACTTTAGCTGCAACTAAATTCAATTTTTAAGATAACAGTAAAACTCAAAATTAGTTATCTAGATCAATTTGGACACTTGAATCTCAGCATTGTAATGCATGTCTTCTCCTTATTTTTCTCTTCCCTCTTTTCCCTACCTGAAATCAGATTGATCTAAGCAAGACTGTGGGCGGCAAGAGCTCAGGAGTTCTGTATACTAATAATGAGATAATACTTATAACACTGAGACTAGTCAGTTATGCTACATTCATACAACTATCCAATTCTACCACGAATTTCAAACATTTTTAGCAACAAACTAACTTAATTTTCACATCCTCTTGGTCGGTACTCACCACCCTAAAGGTCCTGTAGGTACTGATATTACTATAAAGTACACGGCCTTCCAGAAAAGCTTTTCAGATGGGTAGCTGACTTCCTTTCCAGTCTCGAGCCACTTTCACATTGAAGGGAAATCAGTAATATAGCTATTTATACTGGCAAACAAAAGGACTTTTTGCGCTTCTTATTCTAGCTTGATCGAGTTTTCCAGATGGACACGCGGTCAAGGATGTTGACAATATATCAAGATGTCAATTTATGAAAACGTTCCATGATTTTTCGAGTCTCACCGTCATCCATGAATCTTATATCTAAAGACAAAATTAATTTTGTGATGAAATGCTTAGTTAGGCCCAGACTTACAGTCGACCCTAAAGGACTAAGGGCCGATCAGGGTTCCATCCTGATTTTAAGCGAGCAACAACGCACCCTTAAGTGGAGATTTTACATTTGCATTTCACAGTTGCTATCACAAAATATACAAAATTTTCAAAATATTCAATATTTTCCGCATTTTAAAATTTTGGATACTCTAAAAATTATTATCTTTGAAATTTTGATTAAGAATTATAAAAACAATAAAAACATTGACAACTAAGAACTTCAATAGTTTTGAAAAACCTGAAAACTTTTAAAACCCTCAACCTTCAATCGTCACTCTGCCCTTAAATATCGACTGTTCTGCCGAAAATGAATGAATTCGAAAAACGATTTTACAGAAATTGTAGGAAAATGCGTAAAAAATAATAAACTTTCGTCCGGTTATTACACTATCTCGTCTTCAAAAGGGATTTTTCTTGTGCTAACATTAACAAGTTCAAACTTACATTAGTCATCGCTTTGACGTTTTATAGCGGTCACAGTACATCAACGACTTGGAAACTCAACAAAACATCGATAACTTTTCAGAATGTTGTGTATATGTTTGATTTGTCAAAGAGACCGGGCACCATAAATTTTGGACTATAAATAAAAGTGACAAATTGTAGCGTCATAAAAGTCATATCGAAACAGAAATTCCTCGACAACGCGCTTCTACTGATTTGTTAGAGGCAGAGCTGTTCGAATAATGATATTCGTATCAGAAAATAGCTAGGAAGGTCAAATTCTTCACGTCAGCTTTAGATAGGTCTAAATTGCTACAGAAATAGAAAATAGATAAGTATATTAAAATTATTAGTACTGTTACTATTTATATACCGAATAGGCATGGTATATGTTTCATTCATTATGATGTTTATTATAGATAGGGTGGAAACATTAATGGAAAGTGTATGATGTAAATTTAATAGATTACAAATTTCAAAAAATCATTTTTCCTTGAACCAAAGGCGGACTTAGAGGGGATCTTAATTGCCGCTACCCACCCCCCTCGAGACGAAACATAAATGCTGTGCCCTCCTTTAGTTATGTTACTAAGTCCACCCTTGCCTTGAAGGCTTTTTATATTGAATACGGAGTTTTCAGTCGACAATACTTCTGGAACAAACTATACTGATTATGATACTTGCATTGGTTTACATCCCAGGATGTGTATGTTGCATATGTGTTAGTCGCGTTATTAAATATATCTAAAAAAAATATAGGCAAAGGAAAGACTATGGCATATAAAGCTCATTTTACTGAAAGGTTCACCACTATTTTTTCAAAAGTAACTGGATTTTTTCCAGACAAAGTCTCCCCATAGCTCCAGAGGTAGTGATCCAAACCCTACAGTAAGCTGTATCCAAATCTGTCCTCTCCAGAGGACTTTGAAGATATCATAAAAGATATCGGATCTTCCATTTAAATAATGTATATTTCAGTTGCCATGTAGTTATGAATCCATCCTGTAGATATTTTCCACGTAAGGAGCGTATATTTGACTATAATTTCTGTATTTACTTTATTTTATACATCTTATAATAACAGTGCCATC